CCCCCCCCAATTGCGTGGGAAATGACACGACGACAGAGAAATTCGAAGAATTACGTATTCACCCGACAAAACGAAAAACTTGAAAAAAAAATCAACAACTCGAAATGCCGCAATACATGGCGATATGAATAGTTGGAAAATGATGATAATTACCCCTGTGTATGACACACAATCCAGCCACAATCACAATGTTGAAGGAATAAAAAAGAAAATGCACAACTGCACTGAGGGGGGGGGAGGGAGGGAGAATAAAAAATAATAAAATGAGAGGGGAGTATGAGGTCGCGCGTTCTACAGCCGCAAAAATGCGTTCGCGCGTGCAGATAATGTCAGTTTGTGCTTTGGTATGACCGTTATTACGCTTGGCGAATATAAACCGCTACAGCATCGGCCTCCGAGCGTACAATTCTTCGAACGCGTTTATGCAAACACACGGGGAGGATGCGTGCAACACGTTGTCTTACGTGTTTAATTTTATTTCATATTTCGTTCGTCTCTCTCTTTTTTTTTAGATATTCCTTTCCACATATTCGTAAGAGCCCCTTTGTCCCCCCCGAGATTATCATGATATTTTCGAGCATCGCATGCAGTCAACTTCACTTTGTTTCTTAATCGGCTGCTAGGGGAGGTGGGATAATTGAGGGGAAAGCGAATGGCTCTGGGTTTAGCGCAAAAACTTGTGTCTCGCATCGTCGTAATTTGAGGGGGGTATGTTATGGCTCCGTGTTTGATGGAAATTAATGTCTTATTTGGTATTGTATAAATTAACAATTCCAATTTCAACTGAAAACCAGAGTTGATGACCAGAGTTTCTAACAGAAATGTCAGACAAGATATGAATGTTTTTTTTTGGCTCAAATGAAATAGCNAGAATTCTTTAAAGATGACAAATGTCTCTAAAGATGATGTCTGTTTGCAATTGAAAAGCGCAATTGTGACAACATTGTCCAGTGGGGTCTAGGAGTCTCCCCTGGTTCAAAACCATCTTTAGAGGCTCTAGCTCTTTTTCTCGGGTTTTCAACTGAAAACCCGAGTTGAAAACCCGAGTTTGTAGCAAAGATGTCAGACAAGATATGAATGTTATTTTGGGCTCAAACGAAAGAGCGGGTCGAGAAGTGGCGTGCTAGGCCCTCAAAAGATGGTTTTGAACCAGGGGAGACTCCTAGACCCCAACGTTCTATACATACTCCTAGACCCCATTGTGCTCCTAGACAATGATGTCACAACTCTGCTTTTCAATTGAAAACAGATATCATCTTTAGAGACATTTGTCATGTTTAGAGGCTCTAGCACGTCAT